TGACCAGTAAGTAAGGATGACATCGTGTGTTCCAGTAAGTTGGTGTCTGTTACAATCAGCCAAGTCCCAGCACAAGTAGGTCTGTCCGGTGTTTGGACTGAGAGTTTGGCAAGCTGGAGCCCTCACCACTGAGAAGAAGGTCCCATTATTATCCGTCTGTCCCTCAGGAAAGAGGAAGCTCAGACAGCACATGTCCCAGAGTGCTGTGCGGGAACAAGTCACTGGGCACAGACGCTGGGACCTGTGGTTTTAACCACAACACTACATCAATGCCTGTCCCCAAAGTCAACAAGGACAACAGAGACGAGCAATGCTCATTTGACTCAACCCTTCCTTTCAGGCTCCTTTTCTTTCTGTCTGAAAGGCGCGTTCAGATGGCTGTAAGGACATTCCCAAGAGGCCACAGATATGCTTTCTATCCACTTGCAGTTGAAAACCCACCTGCCCCCTCTTTCTGAGGTTTCTCATCAAACATTCAACAACAGAAGAGTTTTGACCAACCAAGTGTCCCCACACGCTGCCAATGGTTACTGAACTGCACAGGCACTGAAGGCAGGAACCCTTGGCTGCTGCTGCAGGGCTGAGCTCCGGTGCCCTCTCCCCTGTCCCTGACTGGCTATGGGGCCACCCAGAGCATCCTTGTCAGCAGAAACCAGAGCCACAGCCTGTGCTCAGCTGTCGGTCCCCTGGGGACCCAGACAGGACACCTGAGATGAGATGAGATGGAGGCAAGCAGCAGGAATGTGGATGCTGGAGACACCTTCCAAGCACTCTGGTGCCAATGAAGGAAATCACAGGAAGTGCACTCTGGATGGAATAGCAGGGCTGTCCTCCATGGCCAGAATGTCAGAGCCTTGGGGGTCGAGGCGGTGGAGGAGGAGGAGGATATAAGGTCAAAGCCTAAGTAATGGTTAAACATTTATAAGCTGTTACTAACTGAAGCAGATGCTTCACGTGGGTCCTCGTGATAACTCTCCAGTTAGACGCAACTCCTCCTTCACAGGGGAAAACCACCGAGGCTCAAAGAAGGAGGCAGCTGTCCCAAGGTCATCGGAACCTCACTCTCCTTGTCTGACTACAAAGCTGGGGTGCCTCTGTCATGCCCAGCAGCTGCCTCTAACATGGAGGATAGCTGACCAAGACACTCCACATCAATTTCTCCAACACAATGCCCCAGAAGACAATAGAAGATGGAAACTACAAGAAATAGGAGGACACAGGAAGCCTAGAGGACTCTTGGAGAAGTCCAGGGACCCCCTTGTCAACTAGCCAGCTTCCTGAAGAGAATCAGAGGAAAGAAGCCAGAGAGACATGCAAGGCCAACATCTGAGGAGGCCAGGACAGTAAGGCAAGACTCCCTCCAGGACTGAGGCCCCAGGTGCTGGCTGCAGGTTTCCCGGGGACTCAAGCACAGACCCCTGCACACAGGGACAGGCAGGGTGCTGCTGCTTCTCTGCACCAGCTGCTGACTTCCTTATTAAAGGAAGAGACCGCAGGGCGCACGCGGAAGATCACCAGTGACAGGACCCACAGCCAGTTCTGAAAATGAGCACCCACGTGAGATGGGCCATGGGCATCAAAGACCCGGTGAGGGGAGAGAGAGACGGTGTGCCAGTATGAGGGAGCTGGAAAGGCGACATCTCACTCAACGTGACAAGGTCCGATGTGAGCAGACACACTGACATTATCATCACAGGTCACAGGGATGCAGGGCCCCAGGCTGCAGCCACAAGCAGGATCCAAAAAACCGGCTCAGCAGGCTGAGGAAGAGAGCCGTGGGGATGGGGGTATCTACACAGCACGATGCACCGCTTCAAGGTTCGAGCCTAAAGCAAAGCCCTCAGAGCCGTGTTCACTGTTGTCGCTGTTGTTGTGTGCCGTCGAATCGGAACTGTCCCATCACTGACCCTCTAGCAGATTTTTAGAGGCACTTAATTGCACAGGAAGACACTGCCCATCCTTCTCCCACAAAGCAGCTGGTGGCCTCAAACCATGTGCCTTGGGGATTGCAGTGCAGCTTCTTGCCACTAGGCCACCAGACCTCCCTACACGTTCACTAGAGATATTAAAAGTACCTACAACCACGAAGTTCAAATCCGCCAGCCGCTGTGAGGAGAATAGTGTGGCAGTCCGCTTGCGACACCGCGGAGGATTGTCATGAATCGAAGCTGACTCACAGGTAGTAGGTTCGAGGACTAACACAGAAGGGAGGCCTCAGCTATAAGGCGCTCAGGAGCCCTGGTGGCACCATGGTTAAGTGCCCCACTGCTAACTGAAAGGTTACATGCACCAGATGGTCCACGGGAGAAAGAGGAGACAGCATGCTTTCATGAAGAGGCCTTTCAGCATGTCAATCCACTGCCGTCAAATCAAAGCCCACCCATCGCCAAGCCTCCACTGGGCCTCCACAGCTGTGAACTTGGAATGCAAGTAAAACTACTGCACTAGAGGAGACTGTCTGTCTTGACTGTGCTGAACTATGGTCAGGGATGTATCCTGTCCCCACACCTTTTCAATCCATATGCAAAATAGATCATTCCAGAGGCAGGGCTTTATGAGGAGGAATGTGGCATCAGGATTGGAGGGAGACTCATCAACAACCTACGTTATGCAGATGATACAACCTTACTTGCTGAAACTGAAAAAGACCTGAAGTGCTTGCTGCAGAAGGTCAAGGACTGTAGTCTTCAATATGGATTGAAGCTCAACATCAAGAAGACAAAGATTCTTACCACTGGGCCAATTGGCAGCACCATGATGAATAGAGAAGAGATTGAGGTTGTCAACAATTACAACTTGCTTGGTTCCACAATCAACATGTCCACATCTCCCTCCCCCCTCCACAGTTGTGGGGTTTATTAGGAAATAGACTGAGGAGCAGGGAAGGCAAGGAATACCACACAATGCAAATCCAAGTTTAGTTCAGCAGTCCCAGGCCAGATTAACAAGGCACAATTCCTCAATTCGTGAAAGTTCAGTTTCAGTTCAGCAGCAGTACAGATAAACCTCTGGTTTCCTCAGTCATCTTGCAAGCTTTGTCTCATAGCAGTTCAGCAGCACAAATAAACCTCTGGTCTCCTCAATTGCAGGCTTTTTCTCAAAACAGTCACAAGTCAACTTTTCCTTCAGTGATCCAGCAAGCACACCATCAACATTCTGAACACTAGCAGTCAGGAAATCAAAAGACACTTTGCATTGGGGAAATCTGTCAGCGACCTCCCCAGAGTGCTAAAGAGCAACGATGTCAGTCTAGAGACCAAGGTGCACCTAATTCAGGCCATGGTCTTCACAAGTACTTGCTATGCATCAGAGAGCTAGACAATGACTAAGGACAACAGAAGAAAAATCAATGCCTTCAAACTGTTGTGCTGGAGAAGAGTCTTGAACATACCACGGACCGCCAAGAAAACAAATAGGTCTGTCTTGGAGCAGGTGAAACCAAGGTTTTCTCCTTGGAGACTAGGATTTTGAAGCTTCATCTCACATACTTTGGGCACGTGGCCAGGAAGGACCGATCCTTGGAGAAGGACATCCTGCTCGGAAGGCTGGATGGACAGCACAGGAGAGGAAGCCCTCGGATGAAATGGATTGACACAGTAACTGGGGCAATGGGGTTGGTGTGTCGGGATTAGTGAGACTGGCCCAGGACAGGGCAGGCTTCAGAGCTGCTAGACATAGGGTTGCTATGGGTCACAGGCGACTCGATGGTACATAACAACAACGACATTGGTAGATTTGAAAAGACAGAGAGATGTAGCGTTTAGTCAGTAGCATAACTTCCCAATGACTACACCACCAGAGTGTCCTTCATAAAGATTACAGCCTTGAAAACCCAGCCGTTGTTGCTAGTTGTCGTTGAGTATGACACACAGTGACCCTATGAACAGAGGACCTGAGCCCTGCCCTCCCCTCCATGACCCTCACCATCCCACTGTTCTCAAGCCCACTGCCCCAGTCACCATGCCAGTCTTGGTCTTCTGCTGACTCTCTACCTTCCCAAGCATGATGTCCTTTTCCAAGGACTGGCCTCTTCTAACTCCAAGCCCCAAGTGTGCAGGACGGAATTCCATCATCTGTTTCTCCAAAGAGAGCCCTGACCGCACCTTCTCCAAGACATATTTGTTTGGTGTTTTGGTAGCTCATGGGCTGTTAAGCCTAGCCGCAAACTTCTATTCTGTCCTATGGGGTTGCTATGTGTCCCACCTGACGGCAATGGTTTTAGGCTATTTTAGGTTTTATATTTTTTGGTTACCAGGGTTAGGAGGCCTGGTGGCACAGCACATAACAATACGCTAATAGAAAGGTCGGCAATTGAAGCCCCACAAGCTCTACAGGAGAAACAAGGCCAGTCTTCTCCTGTAATCACTTCCAGCTTCAGAAACCCAACAGCGGGTCCCTAGGAGGCTGACTCAACCTGACAGCAGTGAGTGTAGTCTGGCTTGGCTTTACCAGAGCCGTCATGAGGACAGAATGGGTTAATGGGTATAAAATACATATAAAGGGTGGGGCCACACTAATTAACTCACGTTAATATCGCTCACGTTAATAGCCACTAGCGCCTGACACGTGGGAAAGGCGTTCACGCCTTTAAAACAGGTGATGGCAGAACTCTAAGCTCAGAGGTCTGGGGGTTTCTGCTGATACTGTGGAGGATGTTTCATTTTGAAATGCCATGCTCTCTCCCCGTGCATCAAATTAAAACAGATGACTAATTTCCCAGTAATTGCCACACCACGTTTGCGGAACAAACACCTTGGCTGAAGGCCCCTGGGACCCTCGGAGACTGGGCATGTGGCTCAGAGAATCCGCACCAAAGGTTACTTCATCTCACTTAAGATGCCAGACCACACCAAGATTGTTTTGTCTGCAAAGAAGACATGCTCGCATGTCGATTTCTGCCTCCTCCCCCTCACTGCACACAGGAGCTGCGCTGCCGGCTTTTAAAAAGTAAAAAAAAAAAAAAAATGAAAGAGTGAGAGCAGGAGTCAGGCCCAGCGTACCTGTCTCCGTTTTGCTGGCGAAGCCCGCTGCCTGTTTGATCGCCGCCGCAGTGAGCGCCAGTCCTCGGGTCCGCTTCAAGCCATGCTGCAGGACAGCTTCAAACTGGGCACAGAGACACGTCACCCTGCGAGAGAAGAGAAGCGACAGTGCATCAGTCCACCTGAGGAGACAACAGCAGCCAGCACCCCAGGGAGCAGGAAGGTCCACAGGTGCAAACTTCAGTGTGAAGGTGGGTAAGAAGTACTGGCAAGGACAGGCTGTTGTTGTCAGGGGCTGATGAGTCCAGTTCCCCTTCAGAGACTGTGTAAAAAGCAGAACTATCCCATAAAGTTTGAGAAGGCTGTGAACTGTGGGAAGCCTATCAGGCCCATCATCTTAGAGGCCTCTCAGTGGGTTTGAATCATCAACCTTCCAGCTAGTAGTTGCATGGTTAGCCATCTGTGCCACCAAGGACCTCGGAAATAGAGTCACCGAACCGACTCCAAACTCACCACATTTCTATAACACAGGAAGCCCCCACGCAGTGCACCCAGCTCACAGGGCAATAATTCACAGAATGGCCTTGGTGTCAGTCAGCAGGAGGTTAAAAAAAAAATTTTTAAAGCCAATTTAAAAACCAATCTGTTGGGGAGGGAAGGTGATATATATTAACTGCATCTAATTCACAAGTTTCAATTATAATATAGACCACCCATAGTTTAAAGAACAAAATTGTATTTTCAGAGCTGGCCTGCCAAATTGGAAACACTGTGTAATTTCATGGCCTGTTACTTACTCTGAAAAATAATATAAACTCTGATTCCTGTGCTTGATTTTGTTTTTAGCGATTATACTGTGAAGTCAGATCTGGAGTTGATGGACTTTTCAATCAAGTTACAATTACTGTGCACATAATTGAATTTATTTCTCCATAACCAAAGAAACTGAAGAATAAGGTACATATTTTTTAAATGAAGCAATTTCTCCGGATTCCTATATTATTATTATCATCCTACAGGTTTATTTACAAAATTATAATACATTGTTTCTCACACCAGTCCCTTCCCATTTCCCTAACCACCCCCACCAAACTGTACAGCCCTATGATTAATTACACTTACACACCCCCTCTCCTTCCTGCTTCCACCGTCCCGCTCCCTTGGATCCTCATACTCATTCTACAGTATTTATCCTTATGGAACTGACTCAGTTCACTCAGCATAATGCTCTCCAATCTTTCAAAGTTAGGTAATAATTTACAAAATTATTGCTCCTGCATTCTACATAGTATTCCATTGTGTGAATGTACCATAACTTCTCAATCCATTCAATTGTAGTTGGACATGTGGGCTGTTCCCATGTTCTTGCAATGTTGAATAACACTATGAACATTGGTGTACAAGTCTCCATTTCTGCTTCAGTTCTCATTTTCTCACAGTATATTCCAAACAGTGGAATAGTTATATTACACAGAATTTCTATGTTCAGCTTTTTAAGGAAGCTCCAAATTGTCCTTCAGAGTGTTTGCACCACTGTACAATCCCATCAGCAATGTATAAGAGTTCCCATCTCACCACATCCTCTCCAACAGTTATTACTTGCTCTCCTGTTAAACTTTGCCACTGCTACTGGTATCTCACTGTGGTTTTGATTTGCATCTCTCTTATTGCCAGTGATTCATGTATCTGTTGGCCATTCAAATATCTTCATCTGTGAAGATTTATTCCATATCTTTTGCTCATTCTGTAATTGGGTTATCAGTCTTTTTCTTGTGGAGGCCCAAAAGTATTCTGTAAACGTTCATTGTGAGATTCTTGTCTGAGCTGGTATTGCCAAATGTCTGTTCCCAGTCAGTAAGTGTTCTTCTCTTGATTCTTGACAATCTCCCATGGTCCTAGGTTCAACTCAGATTAAGTCTGTGGATTATGGGGTCTCTTCCATTCACTCATTCATTCCATGGACCACACACACAGTTCTAGGTTCAGAGGATACAAAGGTGAGAGTCTACTTCAACATAGACAACATGGTTCCAGAAGGAACCCTGGTAGCACAATGGTTAAGCATGCAACTGCTACCTAAAAGTCTAGTAGTTTGAACCCATCCAGCCCAACTGCAATGGCCAAAAATAGAAAACTAGCCTTTTACAATATGCTATAATAATGTGAAACAAATATTTTCTAATAACTCAGGCAAAAGAACTCTCTATTGCAAATAATGGACATGATAATAGGAGATTAATCTTTTCTAGTTCTCGCACTAACGTAAGGCTAGCATTTCATAATACCTTAAGGGGAAAAAAAAGATTTCTCTAAACCTAACAGTAAGAAGAGTTTGTTTTCTTACCAAACCAAAATTCCTTTAGTTCTTCTTGAAACCCTTTTGTTACCTTTTCTTGTCTGCCTCCAGCAATTTATGGCATCCCTTTCTGTTACCAGTTCCCATCTGTCCCTGTAATTTATGGCTAAGAGTTAGGCCTCGATTGATTAGACTACATCAACTAATCTGGGCATGCGCATTGACCGACATCACCCGGACAAGAGGAAAGACTGTAAAATCCCTCACGTTCTGCTGTCTTCTCACTCCCCACTAAACGAAGACGGGGGGAAATGACTTGGGAAGCTCTGCCTCCTCTATTCTGGTATATAATAAACTTGTTGCTTCTTCACCACATCTCTGTCTACAAAATTGGAGATTTTCTGGTGGCAAGTGAGATACTCACAGATCTGTGGTAACAGTTACACAAGAGAAAGACCTGACAGTCTGTCCCTGTAAAGGTGGCTGTTATTGTTGCTGTATACTGTCAAGTTGGAAGCAACTTATAGCTGACCCTCCAGTGGGTTTTCAGAGGCATAAATTGCACAGGAGGAAAATGTCAACCTTTCTCCCACAGACAAGCTGGTGCATTCAAACCGTGTGCTTTTGGGTTGACAGTGCAACTTCTTACCAGTAGACCATCAGAGCTCCCTCCTGTTAAGGCCACCCCTACTGAGAAGTTCTAGTCTGTCACAAGGGGTCACCATGAATCAAAACTTACTAGAAAGTAAAAAAAAAAAAAAAACAACTTACTAGAAAGTACCTAACAGCACAGAAAAGAAAGCCCCAGATGAGATGGATTGATACACTGACTGGGGCAATGGGGGAGTTGGTGTGTCAGAATTAGTGAGACTGGCTCAGGATAGGGAAGGGTTCAGGGCTGCTGTACATAGGGTCACTATGCATTGCAGGTTACTCAACAGCTCATAACAATAATAACATACTATGACAGGTTTGGAAGCAGGAGTGGCATCCACTTCCTAAACAACCTGCCTCCAGAAACTCTATGAACTTTGATAATGTGGATAGCTGTAGAGGGAATTCAAGCTTTTTATTCATAAGGTCGCTATAAGTAGTGCTTGACTCAAAGACAATCAACAACTGCCACCACCACCTAACAGCAATGACAGCAAGTACAGTGATACACAAATAAGCTGCCTTACTGCTGACGAGCATTTTAAATAAAACAAGAAATGTGGTGGGCGTCCTGGCCCCGAGAGAATCTTTCCATGTGGCTGAGACCAGGAACTGGCTCAGACTGCACGTCCCGAGTGCAGGTGATCTCAGAACTATGACATGGACAAGACAAGAAGCTAGGGGAAGAGGAGCCCAGTGCCAAGGCCCTGAGGTCAGCATCCTCTCGTCTAACTTTGCCTCATTGCAGGCATTTCTTGCTCACCACCTGCTCTCCCACACCTGTCGGAATGCTAGTCGGAGTGTTTATCATTCTGTGGGGAGTAAATATGCTCAGAGTCATTGCTCCACTAGCTCCCCCCTCGACATTATTATTATGCTGCAGGTGATGTATCATCATTTCCACCTTACACTTGGAGAAACTAAAACAAAGACAGTTAAGTGACTTCCTGAAGATGATACATAATAAGCAAGGCCCCACCTCTCTATGCTGATCCAAGGCAGTCTTCATGATAAAGCACACGAGTCAGCATCCTTCCCTCTACAACAAACATCCTCTCCCTCCCCTCCCCTGCCTTTACTCAAGCCAGTCTATCTACACCAGAAAACGCTAACGCGGCCTCAGCAAATACACAGCACCACCTTCTCTCCCCTCTCCATGCCCAAGGCAACGACATTGTTAATCCACTTCCAGGCCACCAGCCCAGCATCGGCCATCACTGCCAAATGTCCCAAGTTAGCCCTCCACAGGAAGGAAGACGATCTGGCACCCCAAACCTAACAGCACCACCGACAAGAAAATTTAAAAACCAAACCAAGTTGCTGTCAAGTGAATTCCATTTCATGGATCCACTGTGTGTCAGAGAAGGCCTGTGCCCGCAGTGTTTTCAATAGCTGCGACCTTTCTGAAACTGAGGCACCTCTAGGTGGATTCAAACTGCCAACTTTTAACTAGCAGTCAAGCATTTCACTGTGTGCCCCACCAGGGACTGTCTCTTAACGTGTCTTTTTCCTTAATCTGCTGAACTTTGCTCAGTGCCTGGTACACAGCGTGGGTTCTATAAATGCTTTTTCAGAGGGTCAGTGAGTGAGTGACCTTAGCCCACAGGTCCCAGAACGCTCCTCTTAATTGAACAAGGTCCTGTGCTGCGCAGATGTCACTCATAAATATTAGATGTTCACACGCTAGGCTCCCTACATATATATACACATGATTAAGCACATGGATGGCTCCCTTAGAGCCAAGACACCCATCCAAACCTTCTAAATTCCACACAAACAAAACAGGGGCTTTGTAAAGAGAAAGCTGGCCAAGGTCCTGCCTCTGGAAAACATAGCACAACTTCTAGGCTGTTTCGAGTTCTCCAAAATTAATCAAGCCTCTCCCTGTACGCACTTTTCAAATACAGTGACCAACATGCTGATGCAAATCCGTAGCTCTTTCAAGAATGATGACAGAGGAAAGAAGACAAGGGCTTTGAAACAAAGGCTTTTCTTTTTTTTCTCCTTCTTTTAATAGCACAGAGAAGACGACAGCAGGCAAGGCCCACATCATAATCTCCTTGAAGTAAACAGGAAGGGGGACTGTGGCGTAACCAGGAGGTCTGAGCTCTGTATTCCTAGTCCAATGGGGAGCTCTGGTGGCCTAGTGGACAAAAGAGTTGTGCCTGTCTGAGTCCACCAGCAGCTCGTAAAGAA